TTGGTGAGACACAGTTATTTATGCTGAATGATAAAGCCAAGGAAAACACCAGGGGAGGAAGGAAGTGAGGGAGGAATAAAGCACTGGAATGGTTGGAAAAACACGGCTTGGAATGGGTGTTCTCCCATGCTGAATACCTTGGGATAGCTGGAATTATTAATGTCCTGTGGATCAGCTCGCAGCAAATCCTTGGCAGGCAGAACATTGCTGGTTCCAGAATCCCTGGGGATTGAACAACTGGAAAAATCAGGAGACTTTTAGAGGTGGTTTTCTGAGTAATTTGCATAAAATATCTTCTCATTAACAGTGATATTGCAGCGCTGCCTCCTTCCTGTGCACGGCTTGCAAAAGCAGCTCAGGTGTCTGGTGGTGAGGTTTATTCTTAGAAAACAACAGAAAAATTATCTGCAAGACTGTGCTGGTGCATTTCTGACAGAGGAAGCCAGGTTCTGCTTCAGATTTTTCATTTTTTTTTCATTGAATAGGTGCCAAAATTTTGCAGGCATTGAGACCAAGAGAGCAAAAATGATGATTTTGCACAGGTCTGAAATGGTGTGGAGAAACCCCTCGCCAAGGCTCAGTGAGAGCTCAGGAGAACTTGGACTTTGCCTACACAACTGCAGCTCATTTTGAGCCACGTTAATGTTCAAGAAAGAATTTTTTCTACAAGGAAATAGTGAATTCCAAACCCACATTCCTAAAGATGTACCCAGGGACCAGGATGGAATCCTCCTTTCTGGTTTATTCCACGGTCTCCATGTTCATTCCTAACATTGCCACTACATTTAAAAAATAAATTTATTTTAAAAAATAATTATAAAAAATAATGATAAAAATCTGTTAATTGTGCTAGTTGATATCTTTTGGTAGTGCTGACTGGGACAGGAAGGAAGGAAGGGTGATTCTGAGGAGCTCAGCCCTTTTCTCATCAATATTTGTTAAACACCTTGCTCTCAGCATTTGAAAAATCTGAATTAAAAGAACAAATAATTGCATTTTATCCCATTTTCCCCACTAAAAGTGCGAGCTGTGCCATAACCCTTTTAACTCTGATTTTTTCCCCCTCCAAGCTGCTGGAAAGTGTTTTTTTTTCCCCTGTATTTGCCCAGGAATTGGTACGTGGACGAGCCGTCGTGCGGGGGCGAGGTGTGCGTGGTGCTCTACCACCAACCCTCCGCCCCACCAGGAGTGGGAGGCCCCTACATGTTCCAGTGGAACGATGACAGATGCAACATGAAAAACAACTTCATCTGCAAATATTCCCTGGGTAATGAATCTCTGTGGGATTTAAAACTCAGTCCCTCAGGGGAAGGATTGAGGGGTGCAGTGGCTGATGGGGAAACCCTTCCTCAGTTTCGCTGGTGGGACAGGGAGAGCTTTGAATTTATGCTGCAAATGGGGAAAAAAGTCCCAGAGTGTCCTCTCTGTAGCTGCTTGTGGTTCACATAAATTCCCAGGGGGTTTTTGTGAAGGATTTGAGGTCTCAGATTGAGGAAGAACAGCTCAGGTTGGAAATTGTGAGTTTCACTCATGAGGAAATTCTGCGTTTCTTTCCTTTCAGAGAAGCCAACGAAAGCTCCAATAGACAATTCCCGAAGAGGTGAGTTGGGTATATTTGTTTGGGATTTTTTTTTTAATAATTGCTGACTTGCAGTGGAAAACACTCTGACATTCACTGTCAAGGACACCCAAAAACCATCAAAAAACATCCTGAGCAAGAAGCTCCCCTGCAGTTTGCACTTTCCCTGTGCTGCTGCATCCTGCAGGGAAAGAATTTGGTGATGCTGAAGGGATTGAAGCACAAGAGTCCCTCACACCTCACACTTCTTTGCAGCTCTCAGCCTCTTCAATCTCCTCTCAGCCTTGCTTTTTATTATTTTTTTTTTAAAAAAAAAGCAAAACATCTGCAGTGTTAATGAAGCTGCTTCTTTCCAGCTGTGGCAACAGAGCCCTGGAAGCCAGAATTCCCAGAGGAACGCTGGAGGAAAGGTGCCAATGGAACAGCTGTGGGAACCAAAGGTAAGTTATGCTCTCAAAACCTCATTTCAAGTGTTTGACTCAAAATGTGGATGGTTGGATATAGAAAACAGCTTGTGTGGGAAAAAAACCCGAAACTTCCCTCAAGTATTTCCCGGGACAAAATAAAGAGTTTGCTCTGGCGGTAAAAATGTTCAAAATCCAAAGCTGTGCGAAGTATTTTGGGTGTGAAAAAGCCACTTTTATTAAATAATTTCTGAGTGGCTCAGCTGTGAAAGTTTTGTTTGTACATCTGTGATTAACTATGCAAAACTTGCAATTAATTTCATCTTATGACCCTGATTAATTTTTACCCCCAGAACCTGTTCAGAGCCTTGTCTACATCCTCATTTCCAGCATTCCTGTGCTGCTTCTCCTGGTGGCTGTCACTGGCATCTCCTGCTTTTGGCTGCTGGTGAAGAGGTGAGTGCCATTTTTGTGTCAGAAATTAACAGTGACCCTGTTTACAGCTAATTTCACCATCCTGTAAAAAGCTCTGGGCAGGAGTGTCTGCAGCCAAAGAAATGCTGAAAAAGTGATGTTGATGCTCCAGGCTGTGTTAATTGTGAAGTAAGATTCTAAGTAAATCCCATTATATCCTTTTCTTGCATCCACAGACACATCAGGCAGGAAATAAAGTCACCAAGATTATGATTTTGATGTGTTAACCCTTTTCTTATTAAAGGTTTGAATTTCCAGAAGCTCCCCTTCCAAAGGGAAAAAATGCAGCAATAGAAATAAAAGGATAACAATTTGGAGCAAATAATGTTTACCATCATCCTCTCCTTGCTTTCCCTGTGTGCACAGCAGCCCTGTGGGGGGGAATGCTGGCTGGGATTTTGGGAGTGTCAGGAGGAGTTTTGCTGCCCCAGCATCTGAGCTGGCAGCCCAGAGTGTCCCTGAGTAGGTCCTGCCATGGGATTTGCCTGGAGTGGCTGGAGTAAGGAATGTCCTGAGCCCAGCTTCAAGGCTCATCTCCGAATTACTGCCAGAGTTCTGCTATTGGTTTGTGTTTTCCTCTGTGCCCAAAGCATTTCATGGCTTTCCCCTTTTGCCCTGCCCTCCCAAGGAGACAGGAGCTGGTGGATGTGACCCCGAAGGGTGACGGGGCCTGGCTGCCACAGCCCAGCAGGGACAGCCCCAAGCTGGACATTTACAGAGTCATCCACAAGCAATCCGAGGCTGACCTGGCTGGGGCCAGGCCTGGCACGAAGAATTCCTCCTTCCGTGCCCAGGAGAGGCTGGAGAGCCCCTGCAGGGACCCCGAGGACACCTCCAGCAGTGGCCTGGTGACACTGGCCAGCACAGAGAGTGGCTTTGTCACCAACGACATCTACGAACTCTGCGGGGACCGTGTGGGCAGGAGCAAGGAGTCCACCTGGGTGGACAATGAGATTTATGGATATTGAGGAAATGGACCCAAAAAACTCCACTGGAATTTGGATTTTGAGTATCGACACGAGTTGATTTGCCCTCTCTGTGCACTTGTTTAATAATGATATGTGTGATGTTTGTCCTGGTTTTGCATTGTCCCCTTATTCTTCTATTTTCTGAAAGAATAGGGGTTTTTAAAGATCCCAAACTGAAAGGAATGTACAGATTGTGCTTTGCACCAAGCCCCCTTTGTCCCAGGAATGGCTTGTTAAAACCCTCGATTCCTTTTTGTACCAAAGATATGCCTTGAAACTGAAGGACAATCCAAAATCCTTATTTATTTATAGACCTCCTCCTCCTCAAAGGTGCTAAAAGTTACCTGTAATGTGTGATGGAGCCCTGCTTTCCTGGAGATGCTGAACAGTGGGAAGTGGAAAATGAATCCCTCGGTTTGCTTTGCTTGTGTGTGCAATCTTCACTGTGCCTATATTAAATTTCTTTATCTCAACCCATGAGTTTGCTCATTTTTACTCCTGCAATTCTCTCCCTCTCTCTGCTGGAAGGGACAGGGACCAAGCAGTGGAGGGGGAATGACCAAGCAACCAAAGAGTGCCAGGCAGGAGCACAAATATTTCACACCTTTTGTTCTGCAGGAGATTTTCTGGCTGCAGAAACAAGGCTATGAAACACCTAAAATGTGTCTGAAAGTCTGCTGTTCTCCGTTGCATGTAAATAAATAAATAGGAAAATGAAAAGAAAACAATTCATAAGCTGGGAGGAAACAAAGGTTTGGAAAAAAAAGGTGTTTTAAATGTGGCTGAAACAATTAAGAGTGCAGGCATAGCCATCAATCTATTCTTCCACAACAGGCAGGAAGAAGTTTTTAGATCTCAGAGCTGTTGCTGACTGCTGCAAACACTGAAATATTTCAGTTGTCACAGCTGCTTCTCACTTCCTAAATGTCCCAGGTGCTGTGGCTCTGGCTCTGCAGTGGCACAGTGGCTGTTCCTCCACCAGGACGTGGTGCAAATAAAACCCTGAGAGGAGAAATCCCTTTAAAAAAGAAATAATCTTCTGATTGTTTTGAAAACAGCATCGACTGGACAACAGTTTCTCCTGAAAAGCAAAATCCTGATACAGGAGAGTGGTCAGGGCTGAGCACTCGCAATATCTGGAACTTCTAATACAATAATCAATGCAAATCAAGGGAAAGTCTGTCCACTTTTAATCTTTTATTCTTGGTCTCCTTAATTTTTTTTTCTTTTTGGCAGCTATTGAGCATCCTTTAGGCACTGAAAAACAGGAAAATGAGGTGGAAAACTCATCAGACGCTGGAGTTTAGGTGTGTAAAGCCACATTTTGGCAGCCAAGTGCGTGGCCCGACCTCTGGAGCTGCCCGTTGGACTCAGGCAGTGACCTGAATGTGCTGGGAATTCTTGAGGAGAGGAAAATTTATACATTCCTGCCTTTGACAGCTCCTTTGGGGCATCCGAGCTGCGGGAGGATGTGCGGGAGCAGCGACCACACGAGGGCATGTGCGCTCCACGGTGGTGCCCTGGAAAAAGCTGCTCAGCCCCGGGATTTGGGAGGAGTTTGAATCCCTTTCCTTGGAGCAGAGCAAAAATCATCAAAAGGCTCTGAAAGCTGCCCTGCAAATGATGTTTTTTTTTGCGGGTGCAGTTCCTCTCTCAGCCTTTCTAAGCCGTGGGGGTTTTTTTGTGAGCTGAATTTTCCGGCTTTGTGGTGGCTCTTCTGTAGAAGTTTTCTCTTCCGAGCACCAAAATCTGACTTAATAATTCATTTTGCATCGGGCTGAGGCTTGAAGCAGGGCAGGAAGCAAATGAGTTTTAAGGCTAAAAACTTCCTTTAGAATGACGTGACTGAGAAGGAGTGTTAGGTAACATTCTGCAGGGAAAAAGTAACTTTTGACACTCGGAGTTTGGATGCGAAGAAAAGGTGAAAGAGGAGTGAAATTTGGCAAGTGGCAGCTCGGGATGACACCATTTGCTATTCAAAGAGGATTCTGGAAGGCTCGCTCACGTACCCATCAATCACTGAAAGGGTGGATGTCTGACTAACCCGAGCCATCAGTTACTCACTGCCAGAACTTCTGCAGGGGATAAATAGAGCAGCAACAGCTCCCTTATTCTCCATGGCAGCCCGAGCCAGCAGCGTCATCCCAAAATGTCACTCCTTGGAGGAATCTCATCAGCAGTGAAGGACAAGCATTCATTTCTGCACAGAGATCTTCAGCTCCCTCTGCAGAACAGTCATCGCCGCTTGACACCGAACAAAAGTAACTTTTCACAAGGATGAGGCAGCTTTACGTGTAAAACCTGTCTAAAAAGGGAAAGAACAGCACAACTTTGTTCCTTGCATTCTTCCACTCTTCTTTTTTTTTCTTTTTTGGGTTGTTTTGTTTTTTTGGTTTGGCTTTTTTTTTTGTCCAGGCTCTGTTTTGAGCTGTTTGTGTCCACTCTGTGTGTTCAGAAAGCTCTGCTGATTCAACAGGCTTGTGCTGTGCCATCAGCTGTGGGACAGGCCTTGTTTGGTCAGGGGAATTCAGCAAAGATGCCAGGGTTGATTCCTGGTTCCCAAATGTCAGAAAGGTACCAGTCCTCCAGCCTGAGGAGAAGGAGGGACAGGCACGAGCTGGGAGAGCAAAGATTGCTGAAACAAATGTGGAATTTTAAAATGTTAAGCGCACACCTAAAGCAGAATCGGTGAACTTGGCACTGAAAAGGAAATTCAGCAGAAAGGGCCTTAAATTTTTTCACACATTCTCAGCTCTGATGACCCCCAGATCATTTCAGGTCAGAGGGCCCAGCAGAGCTTCCAAAGCTGCCTTTCCAAATGTGCAGGAAATAGAACAACGATTCACTGAGAAAGGACCTGCAAAAATCACCCTGTCCATCTGCCTGGCCACTTCGGGACATCACAGAAGTTATTTAAGGGTGTTATTCAAATGCCTGGGGCTGGACAGACACCTGGGGCTGGACAGACACCTGGGGCTGGACAGACACCGGGGGCTTCCTCTCCTCTCCATCCAAAAATGAGCTGGGCACGTTTAGCTTAGAGAAGCCTGAGATGTCACCAAGGCACGTAAACATCTCCAAGGTTCTGTTCACTGAGACAGGACGAAGAACAACAGCCATAAATGAATAAAACCGGACAAGTTCTGCCCCAGGGCGAGACAGAACTTCTTCCCTTGGAGGGTGACAGCGCTGCCCGGGGCTTGCAGACACCCCAGAGCTCCTGTGCCACCTGCCCCGGGTGACATCCCTCTGCGAGGGGACACTCCGGTGCCTTCCCAGCCGCACCGTGGGGAGCCGTGTCCCCCGGGGCTGCTGGCACTGTCCCCGCGGGGTGCCGGTGTCCCCCCAGGGCTGGGGGCACTGTCCCCCAGGGTTGCTGGCGCTGTCCCCGCGGGGTCCCGGTGTCCCCCCGGGGCTGGGGGCACTGTCCCCCAGGGTTGCTGGCGCTGTCCCCGCGGGGTCCCGGTGTCCCCCAGGGCTGCTGGCGCTGTCCC